AAATTAATTCACTGGACGTTGAATGCGAGCTGAGCTCCGACTCGTCCCACGATCTCTGTCCGTAATAATGAGCCGAAACACGGGTTAACCCATTACTACGGTTTATATGAATTAATTAAATAACAAAAAACACAGTGTATTAGTCGGCGCTTCCCTTTAATCGGATTAACTAAGCAAACAATTTAGTCATTTTTAGTAATGATTTTTACAAATTATTATGTATTATCATAATTATTATTGTTTTCTATTAAATATTTTAATTAAATGTAATCACAATTTGAACAAAAAAAAAATACACACAAATTGACATTTTTATAATGGATATAAAAATGCAAAACTGTTTTTCCCGACCCGTTGTCCCGATTATTATGGTTTTTCTCTCCGATTAATGAGATTTTTTACTTCGATTTTCAATTTATTAAATGTTTTTTGATTATTATTATTAAAAATTGTTTTTTTTCTGTTAAATTTTGTGCGAATTTTAAATTCATATAATTGTTAAACGAATTATTATTAAATGATATAAAAATTGAAATGAAAATTAAACAAAAAAAACAAATTGTATTTCCGTTTTTGTGTAATAAAAATATATAATTCAATTAAAACTACTTATTTATTAATCATTTCAATGAAAGTGGTATTTGTTATAAATTCAGTGTCTGGGTTGAAATCATTTTGCAATTAATTTAAATAAAATAAATATAAACAAGGTTATAAACAACTATTTCAACCGATTATATAATCGCTATTACCATTAATTAAATTTTACGTAAACATGATCATAATTAGCACAATATGTAAATTGTATTTCTATGTTTAGTAAATAAGCTTTAAATTATATTTACGTAAAATTATCTATTTTTAATGTTTAATAATAATTATTACAATTATTGCAAAACCGGACTCACTATAAGGTAATCATTGAAATTCACGGTTTTATCAGCATTTTGTGTGAAATTCACTGTTCATGTGATTCCGTATTTATGACAATTTTGTTGTATTTTTGTGTGAATATTAAGTGCAATATAATAGTTGACGGAAAACTAATTACCATAATGTAAACTAAATAAAATAAATGTGCAATATATTGTTGATTTATATAGTGTTTGCTGCCTATTAGTAAAGCATAATTAATTTCAACTCATTTGATAATGAAATCTAAAAATAAATGCAAAATCACTGCAAATCCTATACTAAAAGGATGCAAACAATGCTTAAAGTGTGAAAACTATTCTGGCCGTTGAAATTCACTCACTTCCGTGTTTGTAGAGTGGGTTACGGGTGTAGGGGTTAAGCGGTTGTGCAGCCCTTTCACCACTTACTGCTTATCATAATAGATAACAGCAATACACCAGACAGTTGTCAATGTGAGACAAATAGTCTAATGTTTATCAATGTTATAAAAAATATTTAAATAGATTACAAATTGCATTCACGACAATATATTTTATTAACTTTTGCTATACACTTGTGCTATACGTAGAGAACGTGATAAATTATTTGAAGTTAAGGTCATAATGCCATAGACTGTGGGCGCAAACGCCTGAGCACTTGTATTAATAGCAGATTCTTGTACTGTATGTGCGATTCTGTGCTGTCTTGTACTGCACAGGAGGGCACACATTAATAAACATGTTAACTGTTAGCAATACATGTAAGTTGTGTTACAGAATATCACAACAAATGATGTAATCGTGTGGTTGTATGTAATAAGTGGGTCACAAAAACATTGGACTCCCGGACCAAGAGATCACTGAAGATGACGGTAACGATAAATCCTTAAGATAAGGAGTCATCAACTGATGGCATGGGTTTTGGCGGCGATATTGCCATATATTTCTCGTGTTATTCCGTATACTTTCCCTCAATATATAAGGTATGATAAGAATTGGTTCACAAATCATTTCTTAATGTTTTATTTTTGCCACTTTTGACACATATTTCTCAATAATTTTATTTTTCATTGAATTCATTGATATCTTTCCATTCAATCGCCTGATTATTGCCAAATATTAACTAAAAAATACTTTAACTTTTTATTTTTATTAAAAATATATTACATATTATTTACAATAATCAGTGAATCCAATGACAAATAAAATTAATTCACTGGACGTTGAATGCGAGCTGAGCTCCGACTCGTCCGACGGCGATGTGTTGGTCGGAGATGTGTCCGGAAGACCGACCGCTCTTCAGAGCCGAACGCATAGACTTAAAACAATTATCGACCCGTCGTTTGAGCCAAAAATACTGCGGAAGAATAAGTCGATAACTCGGGCCGAATCGACCGGTTCTCTGGCCAATGAAAGCAAAGTATTGGTACTATTCTCGGGCGGAACCATCGGAATGATGAAGAACCATAAGGGAGGTTTGTGTACCATCATGATACGATTACCTTGACAC